CAACTTTTGAAGCCCCTTTGTACTATTCTATTAAAATATTTCTCCATGGCAGTGGATGACTAAGCTCCAGTTTCTTTATTTGGAATAGAAAGTGGACTCTAAACATACCTGTCTGCAGTGGTGGTTGGGCAGGTAGGCTAAGCTGATGTGAGGAAAGCTTTGGTATAGTGCATGGGACAGGCTCCATGTGTACTGGCTTTTACTTTTATTATCTATTGGTTAATTGATTATGTACTATCCTTCAGTTGTTCCGATTTTTATTTGCAGTAAGGAGAGGATTACTGCTGTCATTTCCAATAACTTGGTCCATAGGGGGCTGGAGAAAATGAGGCTTTTTGGCTCCCTAAGGATTTACAGTCTCAGGCACCCTCCTAAGGTCATGATCAGTCAGACTCGATTCCGTGGCAGTGGGTTTGGGGTTGTTGTGTTTGGTCCACACAGTCTCACTCAGGACACCTGTGCTCTGTCTTTCTCATGCCTTGTAGATTCATATGCCAGAATGGGACAATCACAGAGCAGAGAATTGCAGGATTTGATGATAAGTAGATTCTGTTCAGAGAATCTAGGATTGCAAAATGGTGTTCTGCTCTGTTCTCTTTGACTCTACTGCCTCCTTCTTGAAAATAACACAAAACTCAACTGTAAAAACTACAATTATCCTGAGTCTTAGTTTGAAAATCTGCAATTAAAATAGTCATACTTCTTTAAACTCATATGAGTACTGACTTAGGCTGGGTGCTCTAGAGGAGTAAAACCAGTGAAGCATGTGTGTATGAGGAGGTTTCAAAAAGTTCGTGGAAAAGTGGGATTAAAAGATATGGAACTTTTCCATGAAACCTTTGAAGCTCTCCATGTGTGTCTGTATATGTGTGTGTGGGAGAGAGACAGTGAGCAACTGAGAGACAGAAAGACAGAGGTTTATTTTAAGGAAATGGTTGACACAGTTGTTAAACCCTGGTGGCACTGTGTGTTAGGCATTGGGTTGCTAACCCCAAGATCAGTGGTTCAAATCTACCAACTGCTTTGCCTAAGATGAAGCTGTGTGATCTTGTAACGATCTGAGGAACCCTATATATGGTCTCTGTGAGCCTGGATCAATACAATGGCAGATTTGATTTTTTGGTTTTTATGAGTGAGAAAAATGCATTTTTCTGCATGCCAAACAACATAAACCCACCTCACTGTCAGGGGCAGCTCACTCTATAAAAGGAATGAAACAGAAAACTTTATTATTGTGGGTGGGATTTCTTTTTTCATTTTCCAGGGAATTAAATAGCTGTTTCCATGATACATTTCATATTGTGATCATAATTGCATGAGTGTGTGTGTGTGTGTGTGTGTGTATTGAGGATACAAAACAAAAGAATTGGGAAGAAAGAGGATGAAGAGAGGGCCATTTGGTTGAAAATATACTGATATTTCTTAATTGCACAATTTTCTTCCATGTGTATCTTTTATTTTGATTTTTTTCCTCTTAAAGCTAGAAAGAATTTTAAAGGAGATGTAAAAAGCAGCTCACATAGAAAACTATTAGGACTGCTCTGCTGTCAGGCTGTATTCCATGTATTCTCTAAAGCACATGTATAAACATAGATGGCTAAGACCCCACTAAACTTTTAAGGAATACCAAGGAAACAAAACCACAGTGAACCACTAACCTTAACTACAGCATAGACCCAATGTGTTATGTTCATTTCTATCATGGACACACACGCCACACACACTCACTTTTGGTGCTGCTACTGATGACGGAATTTAGACTTTTTCTAACCATTAAGCTTACCAGTCATCTTGGCTTCAGGCAGAGTTATCAGTCTCCTTGGCAAGTCTTCCTACCTCAGGCAACTTCCACCATGCTTCTTGGATTCTCAAACCATTAGCCTATCAGAGCGTCATGTATTGTTATACAGCTTGGTGCCTGTTCAGGAGGCAGTATTCCTTGATTACTTCACACTCCTTCCTTCTCTCAAGCTTCCTGTGATGTTCAGGAAACCATACTGGTTTAGTCATTATCTTTTTTCTTTAAGCAGCAAGTCAACTAAGCAGTTAATTCTGATGAAATACTCTGGTGCCTGCTTAATCTGGATTGATATTGCACTGAATAAATTAGTAAGATAATGGATAATGGCTTGTTTTCTTTCCGCTGGTATTGTAGTGGTTACATTGGGCTGATAACCACAAGGTCAGTAGTTTAGGAGAAAAATGAGGTTTCTGTAAAGTTACAGGGGCAGTTCTACTCTGTCCTATACCATTGCTGAGTTGGAATCAACTTGATCGCAGTCAGTGAGAACTATATAAAGCTTTTTCTTTGAGTATTTTATGCTGTTACAAATACCACTTTGAATTTTTTTAATGCCTAGCAGTATTTAATCTATAAATACAATTTTCCACTAAAATGAACCAGAACCCCTTGAAGAAAAGGCTGATTCTATATCTGAGGCAGACTATGTACAGAATATGCCTGGGAAAAAATAATGATGACAGAAAAGGGACAGATGAAACAAGAAACATGACTGAATAATTATTGACTTTGGGTGTTGAGTATGTGAGACTTCTTTTATCGCATTCTACTTTTGTATATTTCTTAGTTTTTCTGTAAAAAATTTTTTTCTTCTAAAGGTGGCTAAAAAGAATGACTTAAAAAAATTTTTTTAAAGCATGAAAAATGCTATGGTTATACAATGAAAAGGTAAATCTCTCTCCAATCTTAGACCTGGCTCTTTCTTCTCAGGAAAATCTCTGTACTAATTTCCTGTGTATTTGTCAAGGAATTTTATATGAATGAATGTGTGTGTGGTGTTTTTTTTAAAACCACAAATGGTGTTTTATACCTCATTGAATGTTTAGTAGTTTTAATACAATGAGGTTATCTACACATTATTTTACTGCACATCTTTATACTTTACATATCCACTGAAGCACAGGCTTCACATTCCTTTAATATAATCACATTATATCACATATAGCATTCATATGTAACACACAGTATAACCTCCTTCCTCAAGATGACTTGAAAACACTGGGAGATGTAGGAGCCCTGTTGGTGTAGTGGGTGATATGCTGGGTTCAGTCACTTGTGCTGCAAGATGCGGCCGTCTGCTCATGTAAAGAGTCACTAAAAAACTCAATGCCACCCAGCCGTTTGGGACTCGACTCATAGCTAACCCATTGGACGGAGTAGAACCGCCCTGTGCAAGGCTGAGTCACATGTTGGAGATCCACAAGGTCGCTGCCACCAAGTGGAATCTGACGCACGGTGACTATGGCGGGCAGGGTAAGAAAGGCCCACGTGAGTCTGAGGTGAATTCTTTACGAGAGCACAAAGGCTTACTTTCTCGCAGAGTGGCTGGTGGTTTCCATTTGCAGTCCTTATGGTTAGGAGCCCAATGTATAGCCACTGCACCACTTGGATTCCTGTGCGGTTATTAAATAACAATCACACTCACTGCCATCGAGCCAAGACTGGCTCGGGGTTTTTGCAAGTGTGGTTAAGGAAGCGTTAAGTTAGGCTGTAGTCCCTACGCTTCAAAGTTTTGGGGTTCGGATTTCAGTTACCAGAACAACAGAACAACGTAGGGTTACTTTCAAAGGGTCATGTTTAAACAGATTGATTGGGTCTTGGGACATGTGGCTAAGAGGAGAATCAGTACAAAAACCCTCGACCAGGGAGGACAAAGAAACACCCAAGCGGGGTGAAAGGCATGGCTCCCCTTTCCCAGTGAACGTTGGGACTGCGGCTGCTGCTCCAATCTCAATGGGCCAGAGGGTCGCAGAGGTGCCTCCTCGTCTTAAATGAACAAAAGTGGACTCGAAGACAAGGCGGCAAGCAAGATGGGTGACCAACCACACTGCTAGCTTTTTCACTGGGCGTGCGGAGCGGGACGAGACAGACAAAACACGCGGCGTGCCTGCATGGCGCACCAGTGCCGCATGATTATGGGGACAGCCATATAAAAGCAAGCACAGCCAAATCAGGGTCCCAGACAACAGAATCCACATGGATTCGCAAAATAAAACAGGAAGTCTCCACGTCTGCGGTAGCCCCACAGTTCCGGCCACGCCTGCGGCCCCGGGGCGGGGCGCGCTGGGCGCTCCCGAGTTACCCGAGGGACCTGGGCAAGGGCCGGCGCGGGGCTGCCGAGCGAGCGGGCGCCCAGGCTTCGTTGCGCCTCGCCTCGTGGGTGCGGGACCGCGCGAACCCCCGCCGATCAGAGCACCGTCCCGGGCGGCCTGGCGTCTTGTGAACCGTAAAACTACTGGAGCCGGCAGGGCTCGCGGGCCCGGGGACCGCGCTTTCCCGCGCACGAGGGCCGAGGTCCCGGAGCAGTTTCTGGACTCCTCACGCAGGGCCTGAGAGACTTAAGATGGTGCCCGCCGGGCGCCCCGGTGGTTTCCTGAGGGATGCGTGGGCTGGCCTCGCTCCTCGTCGGGCACTGGGCGGGCAGCGAGGTGCCCCGGAGCTCCGAGCCCCCAGGGCCGCAATGCCTCCGCACTGAACCAACGTGTGAGGGACGGACGCCGAAAGCGCGGGGGGGCGGGGCTGGCGCGTGGTCACCATCTCGCGACATCTCAGTGACGTCTCACGGCCAGCGCGGGTTCTGGGGTTTCACCTTCAGTCAGCCTCCTCGGCACATGGGCCTACCCCTTTAAGGAGTGACGGACAGTTATCTCCACCTATCAACTTCCTCCTCAATAGCCAATCAGATTTAAACTTCTTTCAGCCGCCGAAGGAGTTGGAAGAAGAGGGTCGAAAGAGGGAGCTCTCTCGCGAGATGGCGGTGAGCTAACCTCTCTGAGGAAAAAATCTCCCGAACCGACGTCCCGAATTCCCAAGTAATGGGTTAAAGGACAGGATCACAAGCCAATGAAAGCGATGAGGAGGTGGGCTCGCTGCTCTCGCCGCTCCAGCAGTACCGTTACAGGGCAGACTTTTTGTCCAATCAACGCCGCCAGACTCTGGGTCAGGTGACCACTGAGTGCGGGGGGCGGAGCTTCAGCCTGGCGCGAGGAACCGTTAAGATAGACAACGAATACAACCAATGAGGTACTCTGACTAGGTCGTTGGGAGTCCAATAACAGCGGCTGGGCGGGCGCCTTTCCGGAGCGCCGGGAGATGTAAAGACGGGCAAATAGTTTTCCCAATCAGACTGTAGCAGAGACGAGCTAATTGACCAATGAAGACCGCGGGGAGGGAGCCTTTGCCGCGGCGGAGTCCAAGATGGCGGCGTGCGGTTCCGCTGTGTGAAACGAGCGCGGGTCGGCGGGTTGGCAAGCTCCGCGGAGACGACCTCCGGCGGCCCGCAACGATGAAGGGAAAAGAGCGCTCGCCGGTCAAGGCCAAACGCTCCCGCGGTGGTGAGGACTCGACTTCGCGCGGGGAGCGGAGCAAAAAGTTAGGTGGCTCTGGGGGCAGCAATGGGAGCAGCAGCGGAAAGGTGGAGAGCGGCGGTGGGTCGCGGCGGAGCCTGCATCTGGACAAGTCCAGCAGTCGAGGTGGCAGCCGCGAGTACGACACTGGCGGGGGCAGCTCCAGCAGCCGCCTGCACAGTTACAGCTCCCCAAGCACCAAAAATTCCTCGGGCGGGGGCGAGTCGCGCGGCAGCTCTCGGGGTGGAGGCGGAGAGTCACGCTCCTCGGGGGCCGCCTCGTCAGCTCCGGGCGGCGGGGACAGCGGGGAGTACAAGACCCTGAAGATAAGCGAGTTGGGGTCCCAGCTGAGCGACGAAGCGGTGGAGGACGGACTGTTTCACGAGTTCAAACGCTTCGGGGACGTGAGTGTCAAAATCAGTCATCTCTCGGGCTCTGGCAGCGGGGATGAGCGGGTAGCCTTTGTGAACTTCCGGCGGGCAGAGGACGCGCGGGCGGCCAAGCATGCCAGAGGCCGCCTGGTGCTCTACGACCGGCCTCTGAAGATCGAGGCTGTGTATGTGAGCCGGCGCCGCAGCCGCTCCCCTTTAGACAAAGATTCCTACCCTCCATCGGCCAGCGTGGTGGGGTCCTCAGTAGGGGGCCACCGGCATCCGGCTGGAGGAGGTGGAGGCCAGAGATCGCTTTCTCCTGGAGGCGCCGCCTTGGGATACAGAGACTACCGCTTGCAGCAATTGGCTCTTGGCCGTCTGCCCCCTCCGCCCCCTCCTCCACTGCCCCGAGAGCTGGAGCGAGACCGAGATTATTCATTCTATGATAGAGTGCGCCCAGCGTACAGTCTTGAACCAAGGGTGGGAGCTGGAGCCGGCGCTGCTCCTTTCAGAGAAGTGGACGAGATTTCCCCAGAGGATGATCAGCGAGCTAATCGGACGCTTTTCTTGGGCAACCTAGACATCACTGTGACAGAGAGTGATCTGAGAAGGGCTTTTGATCGCTTTGGCGTCATCACCGAAATAGACATTAAACGCCCTTCACGTGGTCAAACCAGTACCTATGGCTTTCTCAAATTTGAGAATCTGGACATGTCTAACCGAGCCAAACTAGCAATGTCCGGCAAAATTATAATTCGGAATCCTATCAAAATTGGTTATGGTAAAGCTACACCCACTACTCGCCTCTGGGTAGGTGGCCTGGGACCTTGGGTGCCTCTTGCCGCCCTGGCACGAGAATTTGACCGGTTTGGCACCATTCGCACTATAGATTACCGCAAAGGTGACAGTTGGGCGTATATCCAGTATGAAAGCCTAGATGCAGCTCATGCTGCGTGGACCCATATGCGAGGCTTCCCACTTGGTGGCCCAGATCGTCGCCTTAGAGTAGATTTTGCAGACACTGAACATCGTTACCAACAACAATATCTGCAACCTCTGCCTCTGACTCATTATGAACTGGTGACAGATGCTTTTGCACACCGGGCACCTGACCCTTTGAGGGATGCTCGGGATAGGACACCACCTTTACTATACAGAGATCGGGATAGGGACCTTTATCCTGACTCTGATTGGGTGGCACCCCCACCCCCAGTCAGAGAGCGTAGTACTCGGACTGCAGCTACTGCTGTGCCTGCTTATGAGACACTGGATAGCTTGGATCGAAGGCGGGATGGCTGGTCCTTGGATCGAGACAGAGGTGATAGAGATCTTCCCAGCAGCAGAGACCAGCCTAGGAAGCGAAGGCTGCCTGATGAGAGTGGGGGAAGACATCTGGATAGGTCCCCCGAGAGTGACCGCCCTCGGAAACGTCACTGTGCACCTTCTCCTGACCGCAGTCCAGAGTTGAGCAGTAGCCGGGATCGCTATAACAGCGACAATGATCGTTCTTCTCGTCTTCTCTTGGATTCAAGGCCTTCTCCAATCATAGACAGACGAGGTAGTTTGGAGAAGAACCAAGGTGACAAGCGAGACCGTAAAAACTCTGCATCAACTGAACGAGATAGAAAGCACCGGACAGCTGCTCCCACTGAGGGAAAGAGTCCTCTGAAAAAAGAAGACCGGTCGGAAGGGAGTACACCTAGCACCAGCACTACTTCACTGAAGCTGAAACCTCCTTCTCAGAAACAAGACGGTGGGACAGCCCCTGCAGCTGCAGCCTCTCCCAAACTCTGTTTGGCCTGGCAAGGCATGCTTCTACTGAAGAACAGCAACTTTCCTTCCAACATGCATCTGTTGCAGGGTGACCTCCAAGTGGCTAGTAGTCTTCTTGTGGAGGGCACAACGGGAGGCAAAGTGGCCCAGCTCAAGATCACTCAGCGTCTCCGTCTGGACCAGCCCAAGTTGGATGAAGTAACTCGGCGCATTAAAGTTGCAGGGCCCAATGGTTATGCCATTCTTCTGGCTGTGCCTGGAAGTTCTGACAGCCGGTCCTCCTCTTCATCCACATCAGACACTGCCACTTCTACTCAGAGGCCACTTAGGAACCTTGTGTCCTATTTAAAGCAAAAGCAGGCCGCCGGTGTCATCAGCCTCCCCGTGGGGGGCAATAAAGACAAGGAGAACTCTGGGGTTCTTCATGCGTTCCCACCCTGTGAGTTCTCCCAGCAGTTCCTGGATTCCCCCGCCAAGGCACTGGCCAAATCCGAAGAAGATTACCTGGTCATGATCATTGTTCGTGGTGCGTCCTAAAGTCCATGTATAACTTGTATTTACTGCTTTGACATGATTCCTGTTTTGTGATATGTGTAATGGGATACAACATCAGAGGCAGTTTTCTTTCTGGTTAGTTGTTTAGCCATAGCCTTTTCTTTTTTATACTTTTATAAATCTCTATAAAATAGAAGCCAGGACAGTTTAGGTGTTAACTAAGCGAAATGGATGCCCTGAAGGTAGCCGGCAGATGGATTTGCTTTAACTTGAGTTCCTATTGTTTAACATTTTGTTTCCATTTTTCCCTTCTGAGTTTTGTTTTATAACCTTGAGTTTTAGAAAAAATTCTCAAAAGTTACAAAATTGTTGATAAGTCAGAATTTGGAGAAAAGGGACCTAAAAGATCCTAATTATTGATTAGTGTGTAGGTAAATAATTCCTGAACCAGAAATGTTTATTGTAGATTAAAATCTGATCAGGGTCTCAAAAGTGTATGCTCATAATTTGTGTAGCAGTGCAGTTAATCAGGTATTTTGTAATTCTCTTAAAGTACACAAATAGATTCCCAGATAATTTGCCTTAACATGCCTTTTTATCATCAGTTCTTGAGGTCTACTGTATCCCATGTATGCACTTTTGGTTTGTAGCTATAACTGTTCAGTAAAAATTGAGGACCGTGTTACAAACCATTTACGTATGTCTTATACTTAACACTAGTATGCAAGAAATGAGTAGGTGCTTTTAAGAATTCTTCAGTCAGTGTGTGGTGATGTTTTTACTTTTTCAGAGAGGTGTAGCAGGTACAGTTCTAATTGTGCATATTTCAAAAATAAGTTCTTCTAAGATGATTTTTGGTTTTTATATTCATTCAAATTTCTGGTTTCAATAATAGAAAGAATAGGTGTCTGCAGGCTCATGATGCATAATACCCCCACCCCCCCAGATTCCCCCTAGAGGGCATTTATCAGCCATATCTGGATCACAGAATCTTTAAAGTTATAAAAATGCCTTTGATTAACTCTAATTTTGCTTTCTTGTTCATATTTAAAAAGTAGTGGTGACGTTACAGTGTTGAAAATTTTTAAATATCTGAAATTTCATTAATATTTTCAGTGGGGTTCAGCCATAGAAAATGGAAATGACTATAGGAAACCCATTTTTTTTTTATTATTACATTATTTCCCCCTGATGCTTGGAAAGCATTCTATTAGTACAAAGCAATTTACCCTCACAAATTTGTTTCCCCCAAACTGAGGAGTATACCAATTTATGGGCCTGAATAGGGGCTTTTGCTGCTTAATCGTTAATAGATCCATTTTTGTTTTTTTCCTATCCTTCCAACTCTTCTCATAGTTTCTCAGGTCATTGGTAAGGCTGTATCCCCACTCCACTGCCCCTGATTTTATTGCTGAGTACTTCCCCTAAGGCCTTTGCTATTTAATTATAACTAGAAACCTTAGGACCTCCTGGATCATGGTCATGTTTCTATTCTGTGAATGTGACTACTTAAAAGCCTGGCAGAATTCAACTGTTTTCTTTCTATTATCAAAGCTGGTAGTTTTGAAATAGCACCAATAATAACCCAGGGAAGTGTCATGTAATTTATTTTACTTTTTTTTTTTTTCCATTTATGACAGGTGTCTAAAATGCATGTCAGCACGAACGCTTCATCACTGCAGTGTCATCCTTTTTGGTTTTCACTTTGCATTTGTAAATGTTTTATTTTTTAAGTTTTTGTTTTTAAACTGGAAAAATTAGCCTTTTTAAGAGAAAGGAGGTACTCCCAGCTATGAACACACAGATCCTCGGTGTCCCTCTAGGGAAAATACCTGAAGTTCCACAATTCTATTTTGGGTGCTTTTTGCTTTCAAAAAAGCAGTGCTTGGCCACACTCTTAATACAGAATTGACACCTGTTCAGAGACTAATGCGTTTATGGAATCTTCATATGCCAAGTCAAAATACAATTTGTGGTTGAACACTTTTTTCCAGTTTAAATAGTCTAGCTTTTAACTTCTGAATATCTTGATAAGACTTGGTAAGATCAAATGATCTTGCTCTTTTCGGTAGTGAAAGTCCATTACATCTAATTTTACTATAATCCAAAGTTTGTTTGTTTTTCCCCATTTCTGTTCTTTTTTTATTGAGCTGATATGAAGACATCCAAGAGTACTATGGTTTTTGTTCCATATTTGAATCCTTACTTGGCATCACTGCTTTTGTTGATCTGGGCGATTTGTGCTTTGGTATTTTTGAAACTGGTTTGATGTCACTTCCATATGTATGTATTATAAGTAACAAATGTGTTTAATTTATGCTTAAAGAGTGCCATCATTTAGATGAATATTTGCATTGCCCATTTTGTTGTGCAGATTTATAATATGCATAAACTGTCCATTTAAACCTTCAGGATTAGATTGAAAGTAAAATTCCAAACACTGTCTCATCCCAATATTCGTTATCCAGAATCTCATAATTCTAACACTGGATACTCTTTGCAACAATCAAATTTTTCCTTTTTTCCCCCATTCATACTGGTTTAGTGTTGATGGTTTTTCTGGAGGTCAAATACATGGAAAGAAATTTTCAATATATCACTTAATAACGGTTTATTGCGTATTAAGGGTAAAAATACCAAGTTAAGGCTTTTAGATGACTTCCAACTTTATGAAAAATTAAGGAATTATTCAGTTCCTAGCCAATTTTGATTTGTTTTCATTGTAACTTAAGATTCCTATTGAATTTTCCAACAATATAAATCATTTTAGGATTGACTTTCAACTAAGATTTTCCTTTTAAGAATTACATCTTAAAATGTACAGCCTCCGGCTGTCAATATTTTGAAAAGTAATACATTCTGGCAGGCCCTTCGAAGACTGCACGCGGCAGTTCAAAATCCGGTGTTTGGTTGTTTCTGTCAGTTAGACATTGGTTAGGTTTAAGACTTCCTATGAGCAGATTTTCATTGACAGTGTTGATAATTTTACGTCCACTTTCTTAAGGCAGCAAAAGCGCTTATGCAAGGACAGCTAGCTTGCACTGTAGTTTGGGTCCATTTAGGAACCATTCACCTACAGTAGTAGGAGATCTCTTGAGAGGAGGCCTTCGTGACTGACCTTTTATGTGAAAAATTAATTTTTAGGCAAGACTTGTCATTTTTTCCCTGTCTTGGCCACAGTGTTTGGTTTTGAGATAAGAGATCGTAGATATGAGAGCAAGCAGACAAGTGGCACTTACCCCGCTAGTATTCTCCTTAAAGGGAGAAAATTCAAGGTAACCACAGTGAACTACTAAGCTTAATGAAAATATGTATGATTTAAATGGAGTTGCAAAGTAAGAGTCCTGAAGTGTTCTTTGGCTATCTTACAATTGTGTGTTTTTCTTAAAAGAAAGTAACAGATACTGTGTCTTTGGTAACACCATTGAAGGTGGAATCTTACACGGCTTTTTATTTTGCTCCTCTTTATGAGGATGGGGTAATCTTTATTGCTCCATGTGAATTATAGAATTAAAGTAGAGGGAATAAAGGCTTGACTGGAATCCACCTTTTCAGTTTTACAAGATTATATTTGGGCCACATTGATAAAACCAATTGAATATTATAAACTCATTCCTTTCTGGATCTTTTTGTTTTGGAAATATTTTACTTAGTTAAGTATAAAAGATGTTTTCAGTCCTATAATCCTCATTAATCGGAGTCATTTAAAAAAAACTCCCTGTTGTACTTGTTATGTGTCTCTTCATACAGTAAATTCATTTCAAAGTTTGTGCCAGTGGGTGTTATTGGTGCTCTTTAAAGTAAAGGTGGACTATCCAGGAAGGTCTTATTAATGTTACGTTACTCTATAATGGCATAGGGGGAAAAAAAAAAATATATATATATATATATTTTAATATTGTGAGCATTTGTACTGAATAACCTTTTTTTCCCCCTGCAAGCAAAACTGGTGAACAGCGGATGAAGATATGGAATTCAAAGCTCTAATGGACCTTTTTGAAGAGAAGTTGTGGCTTATGTGGAGTTTACATGGGCCTCTTGATGGAAGACAGCTAATCTGTTTAGTATTTGTGCATTTTACTAAAATGGCAGCTTAAAGTTGTGTATCTGCTATTGTGATGCCAATGCCGGTGTTTTAAGTGGAAAAAAAATGACCTCTTTGCTTTGTGCTGTGTACACAAGATTTCTGGAAAAGTAAAGAAAAACCCTTTTTATGGCTCACACAGCTTAAAAGTAGCTGTCACTCAAACATGCGCTCACAGTTGAGCTGCTTTTGTTTTATTCTAAATAAATTGTTTCTTTTGAGGAAAATGTTTTTCTGCCTGGAAGTGAATTCACGGCAAACCTTTGACCCCTTTGTTTGCAGCTGAGGGGGTACTTGCTGCTGCTCAGATCTTGTGTGTCTTGAGCAAGAAGCAGGGCGACCATCAATTTCACTTTGACTATCACGGTGTGTCAATTCTGGAGGATCACTAGTGTTACTGGGACCCCCTTTGTTTGCGGTGAAGGGGATTGTTTGCTTCTCGGTCCTCAACTCGATGAGGAAACGGTGCTGTTTGCTGGCATGCAAGAAGCCGGGGCAAGCACCCTAAGCCTCACCACAGTGCACAAGTCGGGGGCTTTGCTGGTTTGAAGAGCCGGAGTTGCCGAAATTTAAGTTTTGATTTATTTTGTTCACCCATCACGTTTGGCCTTAGTTTCATTTTTAATTTGAAGAAAAGTGTGAAATTGCTTTATCTTGCACTTAACATTTGAACCAAATTGCCAAAAAGAAAGAGAAATGCTCCGTTTGCTTTTTAAATGTTAATGATGGTGTTAATAAAGCCTTTCCTGACACACTGAGGAGCTCCTCCGTCTCCAGGGGCTTCTCACCACTTATGCAGTGATGGGTTTAGTTCTGAATGGATGAAGAGTTCCTGAGAGCTAGCGTTTGTAATTAGAACCGTTACTTGGTATCTGTGCCTTATTTGACCTGTGGTTCCACATGCCTTGGATGCGCATGCACCGTGACGGTTTCCTAGGTACGAACGCACACTCAGGCCCGGTCACTTCGGTTGGTAGTACAGATTGTGAGGAAAAAATGGAGGCGTCCTTAAGGAGGAAAAAGTATTTGCCTTTAGTTCCTGCATTATCCTGTACTCGGGCTCCTGAGCTTTGGAAGCCTGTTCCCAGTACAGGAGAACAACTCCCCTGCTGGCAGCAGGAGACTTCGGTGCTCAGTGACAACGCTGGAGTTCAAGAGGAAACCAGCAATGCTGCTGCACCATTGGCTTCAGACACCATTGTTGTTGTTTGCCAGTTTTAAACGTAGTTGCAGACGAAGACCACCTTGAAATGCAGGCTTGTTGGGCTTGTTTTGAATTGTACCTCGGATGGAAGAGCCCTAGTGCTGTCTATCTCCATGCAGGATGATGATGGCTAGGCAACAGGTGATTATCAACAAAGGATGCCACGGTTAAACTCTGCAAGGTGGTGTTCCAGTGGCAAACAGCTGTGTAAACTCTTGTAAACAGGTAAGAGGGTTTTTAGAGGTCAAAAATGCATTGTAATTAATAGGGTTGAGGGCTTTTAATATTTTGGGTATGTTTCTCTGGCTGCTTTCCTTCACTAAAGTGTCATGTTTATGAAATTTTGGGCCAGAACTTTGGTTCTATTTGGTATTTTTATTATTTTTTAAATGATTTTATTCTGAAGGTCAAAGCATAATAATGGTTATAGATTCTTGATAACCTTTGAATTTTTCATTTACCATTAACCTTAGCCTTCCCTGTTAATTCTTATTTAATGGTAAGGAGGACTTGGCTGGTATAAAACATTGCACATTGAAAACAGATTTATAAACCTTCAAGTTAAGAATAAATTACGTTTTCTTTGTAATATTCAGTAAAATTATACTTTGGTACACCATGAGATTAGGATTTGTACATACTTTTAGCCAAAATGGCTAGCCTCCTTGTCCCACAAAGAAATTATTGTTGTCACATTTACTGCAGCTTTAGGGAAGTGAACGGGCAGTGTTGAGAAAAATCTGGCTTTTGTCTACTTTTATCATTTTCATTGTCCATTTAATCCTCCCAGCCAGCTGAGTTCTCAGTCACCCTTAACATTAATCAGTTGTGAGGCTTTGTCAGCTTATCCCAAGTGCAACTGTGCTAGTGTCTAAACATTTTGACTAGATAAGAATTTTTCTATTTTAGCGAAATTTTAACTGCAGTGCCTACTTGTTCCACAGGTTTGATTGCACCGCCAGGTTGTTTACTGGGACAGCTTATGTATCCATACTTTAATATAGTAAAAAGTGGAAATTCAAAGTAGCATATTTTTTTTATTCTCAGTGTCCCATTTATAATTTCTTAAAATGGACCTGTTTAGAAAGTTGCTGGAATTAAAACTTTACTAACTGCTAGTTCACATTTCTTTTAGCATCTTATATTGTTGGTGAAATGCATTTTTCGCTGTATTCAATTTTTCATACTAGTCTAATCTGAAAGCCAGATAAGTAGCTTCTCTAATTAACAAACATACTTTAATAATGGGAGGAATCTCATGTGATACTTCCTACACAGTTTTAAGATCTTGTGCTTCATCTCAATTAAGAGCCAACCCCGCCCGCGCCCCCCCCCCAAAAAAAACAAACAAACAAACCTATTAAAAGCAGGGCATTTGTTTATTTGTATCTAGAATCTTATCAGCTACAGAAGAGCAAAAAGTATTACTTGAGGTAGAGTGTTAGACCCAGAATTGATTTTATAAGTTGGCAACTGACCTTTTGAAGTATTTCTGTGACCTCCAGGTATGTTTGAATAGGATCCAAATTTAGGGCTGCACTATAAAGGAGATCGTTCTAAGACTAAGTACATTTTGATTGACATATGCTCATTTTTTAAAACATGGCTGTGTGTTATCAGTGAAAATAGTGGTTATCCTGACTCTGAAATAATTTACATCTTATGAATTGCCATTTTTGTAAATTCCATCGTGTAACGTTTACAAGTGGTTTGTCTGAGACAGTGTGTTCCATGATTGTGGTTTTTGTAGCATCTATATTTTTCTTTTAGCATTCTGATTATGGCATCTGACCTCCATTGTGAGCACCAATTCTCTGGCCCCCCTTCCTTGAGCTTTATTTTGTTTTTTGGATTATCCTTTTACCTAATCACTTGTATTATTACCTAGCTTTAAATTCTGAGTGGATGAGTTTACTGAATTTGAGTTTGAGTGTCTTCAAATCTCAACAACACTGGTCTTATCAACCAAGCGGAGAGATTTAACTTTGAAGTAAAAATCTTTCACATGCTTCAACCAGAATGGCCGTGATAGTCACCTTTCAGCTTAGTTTCTCTACAGTCATTTTGGTGTTGACTGTATGTTAGGAACTAAGGTGCCAAGCATGTAGAAGAAAGTGTCTCTACCCCTTTCAGCAGCTTTTTTTTTTTTTTTTTTTAGTCTATGTATAACCTGATAAATACCAGGAAAAGAGTTAACAGATTAGGACAGCTATAAGTGAGATTTTGGCCATTGATGAATGTCTAATGAATTACTAGGAATGATAATGTCTATATGAACTGATGACTTCACGTGTAATAGTTGAATAGGCTTTACAAAAGCATATGCTATGTAGAAACAAGGAGCTCTGGTGGCATAGTAGCTATGCGTTGGTGGGTTGCGATCCTTAAGGTAGGCAGTTTGAAACCACCATCAGCTCTGAAGAAAGCTGGGGCTTTCAACTCCCATAAACGCTTCCAGTCTCGTAAAGTCACAGGGAGTTCCACCCTGTCCTATAGGGTCTCCATGAGTTGGCATCGGCGCAATGGCAGGGAGTTAGGTTTTTGGTTTTGAGGTGGAGACAGGCATGGAATAGTGGAAGGAGTTTGGGATTGACCTGTCAAGCAGAGAAGCATGAAAGTAGATGACAAGTTTGTAGATGGTGCAGAATGAAGCCTGGGAAACCATTAAACAGTTGAGCCAACACAAACAATAGGGAATCCTGGAGGGCAAGTAGTTTGTGTGTGGTGGGAGGTGGTGATGATCAGTTTGAGGTATATTGATTTAGAGGGTGGAATTATTGATAGTCATTTATTGAGTACTCTAGGCCAATCTGCCTTCCAAGTACTGTACACACATTGTCTCATTTAAGACTCACCATGCGCCATAATCAGACTGCTAGTCTGTGACAGCCAGGGATCTAACCTGATCTTGATCACAACTAGGACTCTTCCGACATTTTTCCTGGAGAATGGCATGGCATTAAAGATGCAAACTTAAGACCGGTCTGGACAGTGGGCTTCAAGCATTTGGTAGTATTTGAGAACTAGTGTTGAGAAAAGACTTCATCCTCAGATCTTTTGGGGTTGGTTAGAACCACAAGACCCATGAATCTTTGTTCTTGTAAAGCTCCCAGGTAAACCTGATCGACTTTGTGGGCAGTAGACTACATGTTGGGTAACTTTGGCTGATAGTAGAGTACTGAGGTGTGAACTAGGGTAATGTCATACTTGAGGCATGGAAAAGTAGAGCCAGAAGAGTGCTTTGTCTCTGGAACTGAGGGGAGTTGCTTCCAGAAGATAAATTCAAGGCTACTGCAGCAGATGAGGAAAATTATAGCCCACAGTGCTGTGGAATTGATCACCTTTATATTTGCCTCAAGGGTCGTCTCATCTAATTTCTCCAAGGAACTCAGTCCAGCTCAATACTTAATTTTGCTTTGTGACAGTTTGTGAGGAAGAGCCAATGTGCTAAAGGGATACCAGAAAAAAATTGTAGTTTGGCTGAGGAATAATTGCATTGCTTACTGTTAGTTGATTTTGACTCATGGCGACCTTACGAACCAAATGTTGCTCCGTCCCGAGTCATCCTCAAAGTTACGAGCATGTTTGACTTCAACATGGGTGACGATTAATACTAATCCAACTCACTGAAGGTCTCCCTCCACTTGGCTGTCCACATCACCAAATGATCTCCTCTAGTGATTCATCACTCCTGATTGTATGTGTCTGAAGCAAATGAGATGGACAGTGTTTAGTTGTAATCCATAGGGTTTTCATTGGCTAATTTTTGGAAGCAGATCGATTGCCAAGACATAGTTAGGTATTAATTTAAGTATCCCTGAGTTCCAAATGCTAGTCTAAAAATGCTGTAACTTCAGTCTACCTTGAAATCGAAAGTACGTTCATGTGTATATCCACCTGTGAATTGTTTTTGGTTAATGGATTGTCACCTTGCTGTTACTCTTTATTAATTTACTACTAGAATTAAGGTAGAAAATAGAGTGTGTCTTTGATTTGTAATGGTTTAAAGATTCCTTATTTTGAATGTTTTATATTGTGTTTGTCTTCCATTAGTGTAGCTTGTTAATTTTTCAGATATTTAGTGTTGATTATATATGCTGTTTATATAAAACCAAACTCCAGTGCCTTTGAATTGATTCTGACTGAAAGTAACCCTGTAGCACCCGATTAGCACTGTCCCGTAAGGTTTCTGAGGCTGTAAATCTTGGAAGTCAGCACACATCTTTCTTCCTTGGAGTGGCTAGGGGGTTTGAACCACCAACTTTTTGGTTGGCAAGTGAATGCTAAACCACTGTGCCACCAGAAGAAAGCAGATCTGGCTTTTTTCCATGAGCTGGATTTTGTCTAGGAAGGGAGGCAGTAAATGTCAAGGCCTTTTGGCCAAGGATGAAGGGTTTGGATTTTATTTTTATATTCTAATGGCAATGTGAAGTCATTGGAGTTTTTAGGCAGGGGTATGATATGATTTGATTAAGATTTGACTGGAAAAAAATTCACTACCTCACATGATTATGGTGTATAATTTTTTTTCAATGACAATGAATATAGTACTTCAGATTATCTTAAGACATGAATATGCTCTTATTTTAGATAGCTGTGTTTTATTTTAATGTCATAATCATTTTTCTTTATGGCTTATAATTGTTGGCCACCTTGAAGTTTTACGTACACATTAACCATAACTATTTCATAACTTGTAGTTTTAAATGCTGAATTATTTTCTGACCCCAAGGGACCAACAGAAAAAGGCCTTAATGAAATTTTTTTATGAACAGGAATGCTATTTACTACATGTTATATCCAGACAACATTATAGACAACAGTATAGACAACAGTAATACTTAGAGTTGGCTATACACATGTGTATTTTAAGGCCTAATGGGAAGATTGATGTTTCATAGAACATTAGTTCACATTTCAGCATATGCAAATTTATTATCAGTATTTTATCCAGCTGTCAAGCATCTGATATATTTACTGCCACTGAGTCAATTCTAAGTCACAGTGACCCTATAGGACAGAGTAGAAACTCCCAAGTTTCCAAGACTTAATATTTATGGGAGTAGCAAGTCTCTTCTCTCTCCTATAGAGCATCTAGTGGTTTTGAACTGCTGACCTTGTTAGCAGTCTGTCCCATGCATAACCCCTACACCACCAAGACTGTGTGTGTATGTGTGTGCGCGCACTTGCTTTACCTGTAGAACTGCTTCAGTAAATTAAACTCCTTAATTAGAATATTTGTGTTTTATAGCAAAGACCTCAGCCCTAGCACACATTAAAATCCCCTGAGGAACATTTTTTGGTGGTGAAAATAAACAACAAAGCATACATCAATCATATCAATAATTTCTACAAGTGTAATTCAGTGACATTGATTTTTTTAAAAATCATTTTATTAGGGGCTCATACAACTCATCACAATCCATACACACATCAATTGTGTAAAGTGCATTTGCACATTCATTGCCCTCATGAGTCTCAAAACTTTTCCTCTCCACTTAAGCCCCCGGCATTAGGTCTTCATTTTCCCCCTCCCTCCCTATACCCCCCTCCCTCATGAGCCCTTGATAATTTATAAATTGTTATTTTGCCATATTTTGCCCTGCAGTGACGTTGATTATATTATTCAAAGTATGCAACCATTCTCGCTATCCTTTTCCAAATAATTCCGCCACCATTAATAAACTCAATGCCCCCTAAGCAGAAAACACTCTCTTCCCACCCCTGGTAACTTTAATTTTTATTTCTATATTTTAGTTTAGCAACATCATACAATATTTGCTCTCACTTAACTTGGCACAATATTTTAGGCTGCATCGTGTAGTGGCATATGTATTTTGAATATGCATTTCTTTTATGGCACTGTAGTATTTTATTGTGTGGATAAGCCACATTTTATTTCAGCTGTTGATGGATATATTTTTGTTGTTATCATGAAGAGTGTCATAGTGGACATGGGTATATGTAGGTCTCAGTGTGTGTTCTTGCCTTCCTGTCTTCTGGGCATTGGAATTGTTGGGGTCACGTAGTTAGTTCTATGTTCATTTTGAGGAAGTACCAAGCTTTCCCACTGCAGCTGTGTCATTTTATGTCCCCACCAGCAACGGATGAGGGTTTGTCTCTCCACAGACTCCCCAACATCTCCCCTGGTTTGTTTGTTTGGTTTTGATCAGTGCCATTCTATAGGGATGAGATGGTAGCGCCTGACGGTTCGGGTTTGCATCTCTAATGCCTGATAACATTGCGGACCTTTTCATGTGCTCGTTGACAGTTTGAATGTCCTCTCTGGTGAAATGTCTGTTTACATCATTTCCTTATTTTTTGACCAAGCTATTTGTCTTTTTGTTGTTAAGTTGTAAAAGTTTTTAAAGATATGTATAATTATATATATGTGTGTATATGTATATATGGATATAAGAACCTTATCTGATAGAGGATGCTGGAGGAACTTTGTATTGTGACTATCTGGACCCTCTGAGAGACTGGTTTTAACTGGTCTACATCAAGTGGGTTTCTCACTGATAAGTCTTAGATCACTTTTTTCATTTTGTTTGTTTGTTTGTTTTTAACTGGCTCGGGTGATTCTAATGTGCAGCCAGGGTTGAGAACTACTGCATATACTCTTATAAATAGACCCACAGTTGACTTCTACAGGATTGTTTGAAAATAAAAAAAATGTTTGAAACTGCATCTTTCTCCCTTGAAGTGGCTGGCAGGTTTTAACTACTGACTTGTTGGTTAGTATCCGAGGCTTTAATGGTTAACATGGGTCAGGCTCCTATATTTGGGTCTATTCTTAGTCTGAGAATCCGTCCTATTCCGAGTGTAGTCTGCAGACCAGCAGCAGTAGCATCACTTGGACACTAGGTAGAAACGCAGCGCTTCAGGGCCGCACCCCAGGCCCACTAAATGGAATCTACATTTTTAACGAGCTCTTACATGATTTTTATGGACATTTTAAAGTTTGAGAAACGATACTCTAGATTATCTTGTGTGGTAGAAATTGGCAGATAGAGATGTACTTTGGGCATACGGCTTTGTGTATCAGGCACTGACTGACATTTCCTCTAAAGAACTTTACCAAAAGTTGGAACAAAAAGTTGTTAAGTAGTGAGCTTAAGGTGAACTGGAAATTAACCAGAGGTCTGTCCAAGGCAGAAAGGAGGAGGCGGTTACTGCCCTGGCCTTCCTGGTTGGTTGATTGGGGTTGGTTTCTGTTCCACTTATGTTCTTTTTTTCTCTTCTCATTTTATTCTAAGTCATCCTCTTGATTGTGAGATCAAGAGCGCAGTGGTTTGTTCTTTTTAATAGCTGCAGGTGAGGGTATTTGAGACAAGTGTTTGCTAATAGTTTCCTGCTTCTAATAAAATTTGATAGCACTGAGTAAGGAATAGAATTTTTTAGGATGTTAAAAAAAAAACAAACCACTTTAAAATAAATAAATAAATAAACTTTAACTTTTTGTGATGTAAAGTACAACAGAATTTTGCCATTTGAATCATTGTTGCTTGTAAACTTCAGTGACAGTAATTGCATTGACCATGGTGTACAATCTCCACCAGCCTCTCCCAATAATTTTTGACACCTCGAATAGAAACTCAGTACTCCTCAGGCAATAATTTCTCGTCCCCTGGCCCTCTGGTCCATGAAGCCACGATTCTAGATGTTTCAGATAAGTGGGAAGGATCATTTTTAAAAGTACACTGCACCAAGTAAGATAAAAATTAAGATGAATATGTATTAAAGGGAAAGGTCCAGTATAAATGTTCAGAGGATGCTGTAATTGAAGTGTTGCAGTTTAAACACAAGAATAATTTAAATGTGGTGTAAGGACAGTATTAAGAGAAAAGATTAAATACATTCACCAAGCAATATATTGAGATAGAATGAAAAGTTGCAGCCAGATGTTTTTCATATCCCACAGTTACATGTGAATTGGTATATCTGATTTCAAGGGACTCTCAAGCACAGGATTGTTAATTTCTCTAGAAAATTTTCCTAAAGTTCACTTGAGATTTCTAGATTTCTCCTGATAAATGAGATGTTTTGTTTTTTACTATTTCGTGGAGACTTAACTACCAAAGTTTTCCCCATTTCTGTGATACACTGAAGTTTTCTCTTCAATGAAGTGCCTTCAAGGCATTTTGAACCTTCAAACACATTTTCTTTTGTTTGCTGTCCCTTAAAGTTTAGAGGTATCTGAAGCCCAGATACATTAAAAACAAAAACAAACAAGTGGAAAAAATAAAACGGTATTGGAGCTCCCCTCTACTACTTTATTTTCTAATAGCCAAGTGTAAGGCAGCATTTTAAAGTTCGTAATTGGTTAAACATCTTTTTTCCTCCTGGGTCTCTTTTTAGGAACTACTGACAATCAAAAAACCTATAGCCGACTTTGGGATCTGGCTTTATTATTCTGCACCTAAAAGATGAGTTCTAATTGGCAGACTTCTGGCATTGGCACTTGCCCTCCTGTTTCTATAGAAACTGGGTTGGAAGTCAGAGCTGCACAAAGGGAAAGGGTAAGTTTCTTTGAAATTCCATATTTATAAACCCGTATCTTATTAACTGTGACATGGTGTCAGCTTTCACATAAGGAACCCAGACTCAGATGTGAACTATAAAATTTCACTTGAATGGAAACTGACATCAAGTCATTAAACATAATAGGAGGGTTTAAATATGGATTTATTTTTCTCATGACTCTGACTTCATTTCTTGAAGCAATGGGTTGAAAGAACTCCATATAATACGTCTCACTTTCAGTTGTTCTTAATTTGGGGGAGGGGGGTCATAAAATTGGATTTATCCTCTTAGATCTTATTCTTTAGTACTTTTCTGGTAAGTAGGAATTAGTATATAAAAGATGTACAAAAGATGTTTTAAAGTCTGCATGAATTATATGTCTTCAAAGCAAAATCTGGTAATTATTATTATAAAACAAATGCTGTATTACTGACCAGGTTTTTTAGCCTCTCTTCTCTTAGCCAAGCAGGATGGGGTCGCCTGTTGGGGCACATACACTTGATCTCCTCCAGGCAGACACTCATTATTCATAGAACCTAAGACACCTGCCAGTTGGTGAGTTATCTTGTTGCTATGGCCTCTAAGGACTAGACTGCTTAGATGGGGCAGTTAAGCTTGAAATTGTTTAATCAAGTTTGAAAAACAAACTCTGATCTGTAGATTGTTGTTTGTAAATGACACACTAAACACTAGCTACTTTGGGATCTTGGGTGGAAGATACTAGTTCTTTGCAGAAGTTGTCTCATGTCCTTGGTCTTGGCATACTACTTTTAAGGGATGGGCTTCTCTTCCTCTGCACAAATAGCGTTGAGGTCGGTTGATAGAAACCAAAGGGTGGCAAGTAAATTGACTTTATTATATCTCAGATCATAGTAGTAAAAATAGAAGTGAGTGTTGAAAGTAAACTAACTTATTTCAAGTGTACTTCACAGGTCCCTGATCATTTAGGGGCCTAAAAGTGAATCTTCATTAAAAACGTGATGTCCCTCCCTGGCGTAACTATTAGTGTTTATCCTGCTGGTTTCTATTTTGCTTACTGAGGCTCAAATGAGGTAAAAATCGAGTTGAACTTGTGATTATTTCTCTAAGCTTATTTTTTTGTTGTTGAGAAAATGCCCAGCAAAACATGGACCAATTCAACAGTTTCAACATGTACAGTTTAGTGGCACTCTTAATCTTTGAGTTCTGCAACCATTTCCCCTCCTTGTCTGGGTTATCCTTCATTAACATAAACTTCCTGGCCCCTCTTTCCTACCAAATCTTTAGAGTTGCTGTTGCTAATTTGACCCTGTATAGGGAGTTCATGAAAGTGTAACGCCCAAAACCAGACAGTTAAGCTACTGTTTGATTTTAAGATGACTTGGATACTTTTGGTTTATAGTTTAAAGATTATTTCTGGGTGGGGGCTTCAAGGGTTAATCCACCCCACATGACATAAGTACAATTGTGAGGATTGGGCAGTGTTTTGTTCTGATATACACAGGGTTGCTATCAGTCAGAAGCAATTCCACAGTACCTCACAGCATGGCTCCAAGAACTCTAGAGCCGTAGTTATTTGATATTCTGTTCTGATTCCTCTCTGACGCACTCCCCCCCACCCCGCCCTTTTTTTTTTTTAATTTGATCAGCGGTTTTCTATAGAATCTTTGAACAGAATGTTTAGTAATGGTAAGTGGCTATATCTAGTTCTTCTGGCCTCACAGCAAAGGAAGACGTTAGCCACATGTTCCATGTCCTCCTATTCCCACTCTTCCGCTGTTAGTTACTCCAGGTGATGAGAGACCAAATGCTATGCTTGTAAGATGCTTGTAAGTTTTTAGAACCCTGGGAACCACACAGTGAACTAGGAGATGGAACAGAAGCTCATTCGGCTAATTAATTGAGATGTTCCATGATATCACTGCCCTATCTCAACCAAGGCACCAAACCCCATGAAGGGTTTGGTTGTACCTTCAGGAGCTACTGTTTTCGGTTTTTTGGTGGCGGTTTTGTGTGTGTGTGTATTGTAAATCATAATTAATTTGACCTATCACTCCTTTTTCAGAAAAAAATTCCTCAGTGCCCTGGCAATTGAAATATTTTGTATGATAGCTCCTAAGTCGGAATAAAGTGTAGGTATCTGCTATTTTAACTCCCTTGGATCATTCTAGCACCTCCCAGGGGGACAGTATTGTCCACTTTGGGAAACTGCACCTGTCACAGTTTTTGCCATTCAAATTTTCACAGGTGTACAACCTACAGCAATTCCAGCAACTGATTGTGCAGCCTTTTCCTTAAAACCATTTTTCCATTATCATTGACCCCATTTTCACCCCTCCTTCTTGACCCTGGCAACCAGTAAAAAGCCTTGATCGCTATATATTTGTCATTTCTTGTCTTTATGTATGTGAGGTTATATGATATTTGCCTTGATATAATGGGCATATTTTGCTTACTGTAGTGTCTTCAAGCTCCGTTTATATTGTAGTATGTATCCAGATTTTATTTCTCTCGCTGGATAACTATTCCATTGTATGTGTGTATCCCAATTTGTTTATCCACTTAACCCTTAATTTAAATAGTTTCATTGGCATATAGTTCACATATACAATTCAATAGCACAATCATATTAAGAAGAGTTGTATAATCTTCACTACTATAGTTTAGTATTCAGTCCTCTTTTAATGGACATTTAGATTCTTTTTGCTTTTGGGCTATTCTGAATAGTGCTGCCATGAACATTGGAGAATTATGTTTCTGTCTGAGAGTCTGCTTTGTTGGGTTAAGTACCTAGGAGTGGATTTGCTGGATGGCAGAGTGGATTACACTTGCGACTGCTAACTGCAAGCTCAGCAGTGTGCAAGGGAAACCCACAGGGGAGTTCTACTCTGTCCTGTCGGGTTGCCTTGAGTCGGAACTGACTCAATGGCAGAAACTTTTTATAGCAGTTTTAGGTTTTGAGGACCCACCAGACTATTTCCCAGAAGGGCTTACCCACCTTGAGTTCCCTCCAGCAAATGGATAAGGATTCCAATTCCTCCCAATCTCATAAACAGTATTATTCTCTTTGTTTTTAAGTCTTAGTCAATTTGAGAGTGGGATGGTAACTCAAGAAAAGAAACGGTAACTCACTGTTTGCATTGTTTGCATCTTCATGTGCTTAGTGGCCATTTGAATGTCCTCTAGTGAAGTGCCTACTCAAGTCCTTTGCACATTTTAGCCTTGGGTTATTTGTCTTATATATTATTATTGGATCTTGATGGATATATGGTTTCTGAAGATAGAAGGAGTACCCCAAAAATACCGGAATTTCCCCCCCAAAGCTATGTATTTAATTTTTTTTACAAAACAGCCTCATCACCTTCAAAGTACTCTCCATTACACTTAATGCATTTGTCAAATCTGCGATTCCATTCTTGGAAACCTTTTTCAAACTCATGTTTGAATGGCTGATAGCACCTCTCTTGTTTGTTTGTTTTTTCTTCACCTCTTCTGCATTTTCAAATCACTGCCCTTTCGGGTCCCTCTGCATTCAAGAAAACAAAGAATTCTTAGGACGCAAGGTCAGGTAAGTAAGGTGCATGGGGCAAGAAAGGCATGCTTATTTTTGCAAAAACTGGCACACAGAGATGGCTGTGTGAGCAGGTGCATTGTCGTGATGACAAAACCAGTCCCCCGTCTGCCCCAGATCAGGCCAATTTGGTCACAAACTGTTACCCAATCTTTTCAGAACCTCTAAATAGAAAGCTTGATTAACAGTCTGACCTGATGGAACAAACTCCAAATACACTATCCCCCTCACATCAAAGAAGATGAAAAAAGCACCATCTTGATCTTTGACTTCACTTGATGAGCTTTTTTTGGGTGACGTGACAGTGGCATCTTCCACTGGCTTGACTGATGGTTGATTTCAGGGTTGTAAGAGTAGAGCCGTGTCTGGACAGCAGTAATGAATGACCTTGGGGGAAGTCTGGGTTGCTTCTGAGCTGTCGTTTCAAAAGCACAGCATGTTTCCACTCCACATTTTTTCTGTCAGTCAGAACCTGTGGTACGAATTTCACAGCGACTCTTCTCATTCCCAAATATTCCGTTAGATTCTCTGAACCAAGCTCCAAGATAGTCCAGATAACTTACCCCTCTCTTCAATGATCCATTGTCTTCGGTCCTCTAGCACAAGTGCACAAATTTTGTCGACATTTTCGTCCGTTTGGAAAGTTGATGGGGCATCCAGAACGAGGTTTGTCATCAGTCGACATTTCACCTTTTTTGAAACAAGAAAACAATTTGTACACTTGTGTTTTCCCCACAGCACTGTCCTTGTAAGCTGTGTTCAACATCACAACAGTTTCTGTAGCATTTTTTTTAAGCAGGAAACAAAATTTCACAGGCACACGCTGTTCTCTTAAATCAACCATTACAAAAAACAAGGTTTGAGTGAAACTACGAAATTGCTTTTACAAAAAAAATCATTGTGACCAGAGAGAACCTTTCCAGGCAACGACAAGGTGCACTAACTCAGCGAGTTTCTGGATGCTTCCTTAGGGGTGGGTAGCCCAGGGAGGGTGTACCCCCTCTATTCTCCCAGTTGGTAGCTTGTGTTTTTACTTTTTAAAATGTCTTTTGACAAGTTTTTAATTGTATAAGGCCCCTTTTGCTGTTTATGTTTTTGTACAGTAGATCATCTATTGAATGCTAAGCCTGACAGTGTTGCCCTTGTTTGTCCTCTTGTTCAGTTGGAATTTGTTTTGTGTATTTTGGGGGCAGAGTGGGTTGCAATCCACAGTCAGCACTTCTAAACCACCAGCTGCTCCACATGAGAAAGGGTTTCCTGCTCCTAGATCCACAGGGCTAGTTCTGCCCTGTCCTACAGGATCATTGGGAATTGGCATCAACTCTGGCAGCGAGCATGAGGCAAGGATCCTGGTTCATTTTTTTGCATGTGGAAATAATCCCATTTTCCCCAGCACTATTTATTGAGGAGATTCTTCTTTATCACATGGAGTTAACACCCCTTTCA